GTGAGCTAGCTATGTATCATCAGCTGCTCTATTTCTGTTCATATTTCTCTGTCTATCTATGTCTATATTGCTTCCTATCTATCTATCTATCTATCTATCTATCTATCTATATATATATATATATATATATATATATATATATATATATATATATATATCATAGGCTGCACTAATATGTCTATCTAGCCAAGCCCGTTCATATTTCTTTGTCTATCCACCTCTCTCCCTATCCCTATCTTCTCTGTATATATATATATATATATATATATATATATATATATATATATATATATATATTTATATTCATATATATATATATATATATATATATATATATATATATATATATATATATATATGCATTTCCCTGTAACTCATCTATTTTCTATTAGTATGCTTATTTATCCATGGTAATTGGTAAACATGACATAGGTAAACTTGCCTGTAGTGCCAATGTCTAGCGTCCCGCTGTAGGTCAAAGGCAGTTTTAGAATATTTCCTTTAAGATTAATAAACACCCCCTTCCTAAACTGTGAGTTGAAAGCCTCTACATTTTTATCACTCCTAGCAATTAGTATATTTGTGAACTTTTGAAATTTGTCTCTCTGATCCTTGGGATTTGCTTAGGCGAATGAGATAATTACTTATTTACACTTCGCGACAGCAGTCTATCTTCAAGTCCAGAGATACACCCGAGTATTAAATACCAATTTTAAGGTAGACAGAAAATTTACCCGAGCTCTCCACAGAGCGGAATCTGGCACAAGGCCAGTTTAACGTGGGTTTTTCGGAGCCTTGTAGGCCTGGACAAAAATTCCCCGTAGACGCCGTAATAATGGGGTTGGATTTGTCTACCTTCCCAGACGAGACTTTGCCCTTCGGCATAGCCTTGTCTGGGTTCCTCTCTACCCAAAGGTAGACAGTTCGACAAGCACTAATACCTATCACTGCTGCTAGGAACTCGATCCACACTTTCTACCTTGTGCCAGATCTAAGCTACTCTTAGAAAATCATTTTTAAATTACGACTGAATATTATGTTCGACCCCCAGTGTGCAGCTCCACATTTTCGGCCTTGTGCTACGCGGAATAAATAACTATGCCTGCTGTTTAGTCAGCTGATCAGATTTTTTTTGGAGTGGGCCGAATGGAAAACTTTTCAGTGCCCCTCAAACATATTGCGGAACAGATTTAGGGGTTGGGGTATTTATGATTCTTTAAAGGTTGCTGTCGACGTATTCCTAACACCACTAACAGTGTAATCGGGTACTGAGTCAAATTGATTTGCCTTAAAAATGCTAAAAATCTTCTTACCTTGAAAAATCAGCATTCCGTCTTTTTTTACCTTTACCAGGATTTGAACGCCGCTCACTGGAGACTGTGTTAAAAGGCGACGATCCCAGCCTCCGAAAAGATCCGACTATAAAAGATGAAACACGACCGTTCAAGAAATGTGAACAGTACGGAATTTTGCTATTATTATTATCATTATTATTATTATTATATTTCCTTGGATTTCTGATGTGTACTCATTTCTTTATGGGTCCCGCCCAGGGACCTAAGGTTAAAAATGGCATCATGATGTTTTCCAATAAAAAAAAACATTAAAAAACAAAAAAATTAAAAAAAAAACATATTTTACATAGACAAAGCCCTTCGTAAGGTGCGGGCTGTACTCGTGAGAACAATTTTTTGTATTTCTGTAAGGCATAGACTTCCAGGAATCCCTTCAATGAATCTGCTGGAATCTTTTCCAACCAATCCTTGGGCTCCAACTACAACGGGAATTGTTGGTGTTCCCAAGTGCCACATTTTTGAGATTTCGATTTCAAGGTCCTTGTATTTTGATAAGCTTTTTGAAGATCTTCAAAGATACATGGCATTCTGCAGTGACTGCCATATCAATAAGGAGGCAATTTTTTTGTTTGCGATCTCTAATAACAATGTCTGGGCGGTTAGATTTATTATTATTATTATTATTATTTCCTTTGATTTCTGGTGTGTACTCATTTCTTTCCGGGCCCCGCCCAGAGACCTAAGTTTAAAAATGGCATCATGACGTTTTCCACAAAAATAAGCCTTTGTAAAATAAAGCCCTTTGTAAGGAGTGGGCTGTACACGTATTTCTTTAAGGCATGGGGTTCCAGGAAAATCCTTTCAATTAATCTATTAGAATCTTTTCCAATCAATCCGAGAGCTCCAACTACAACAGGATTGTTGGTGTTCTCATGTGCCACATTTTTGAAATCTCGATTTCGATTTCAATTATTATTATTATTATTAAAAACTTTTATATAAATATACGAAGTTCAATACATCGACCAAGGAAGGCATGCTCGGCGCGACATCTTGCAATAACAATTGTTTCTTCATTGAAATTCAGTCTAAAAACTGTTTACAATGGAAGCATTATTTAACCTTTCAAACAGACCGAAGAGTGTCTAATTCATAAGACTGAATATTTACGATATGAAAGAAAGTCAATATTGTCTCGGACACTGGTGATAACATAGACATTATTGCAAGAACATCTATAAATGGCAGGGTGTCTAGCTGAAAAAATGTAATGTCTTCGATGTGAAAGAATGCTAATATTTTCTGAGAAACTTTTGATAAAAAAAGACATTATTCTAAGCTTCTAGAGCAGTGGTTCATGAATGGTGTGCCTGGTCGCACTGGTGCACCCTGGAAGATGGCTAAATTCAATCTGGCATCTTCCAGAAATATATGTGTCCAGATATAAGAAATAAATATATTTACTTTATTATAATGTGGTATCCGTCTCGTTCATATTTAAGTGAATTAGGCTTTTCTGATCTCACAACAATTAAGTGCAAAAGGAGATGAACTTTTCAATGTATTGAGGAGGAAATAAGAATTTTTCTATCAAATATACGTCCAAACATTGAAGAAATCGCTAAGGCTCATCAGGCTCATGTTCCTTATAAATACAAGAATGAATAAACTTAAGGTATGTTTCATTTTATATTTTTGTATTGCATTATTTCTTTTCTGTAATATTTGACGCCATTATAACAGTTTGCGAAATTTGCATATAGTGCGCCTACAATTATTGGTAGGATTTCAAGTAAGCTCCGACTTCAAAAAGTTTAAGAACAACTGCACTTGTCCCTTGATGACATCAGAATGAAATATTTATGATAAATGATTAAATCATAATTATAAATTAAAATAACGTAAAAAAAACGTTGTGGAAGTGAAGATGAATCCTCAAATGAAAATTATTAGCTTTTATTTCTTAAATAATCCTTGCTATATTATATGTGCCTATTATTAAAAGCTGAGTGTTGTAAGGCGTGAAACAGAGTTTATCGTCTATAAGAAGATATTTGATATAATTGTAATGGTAATAATAATCGTTTCCTTATAAGAAAATATTTGGCATTCATTGACGGAACAGCCATTACTACTTCCGGTTGAAATTTATAAATTCTTTATTATAATGTCCGTATAAGCTCTCGTAGTTTCTGGTTAATAATATTGTAAGGAAACACTGGGAAAAGAAAGATTAGAGAAGGAAAGATTTAATCACAACAATTACGTGCAAAAAGAGAGGAACTCTTCAATGTATTGAGGAGGAAATGAGAATTTGTCTATCAAATATACGTCCAAACAGTAAAGAAATCGCTAAGACTCATCAGGCTCATGTTTCTTATAAACACAAGAATGAATAAACTTAAGGTATGTTTCATTTTATATTTTTGTATTGCATTATTTCTTTTTTGCGATATTTGACGCCATTATGATATATTATTCCGAAATTTGTATATAGTGTACCTAAAATTATTGGTAAGATTTCAAATACGCCCCAGCTTCAAAAAGCTTGAGCTATAGAGATTGCAGAAAGTCGTAGTAGTATCGGTATGTGTGTATCAGCGCTATGGAAGTCAATCTTTTATAGTACGGAGCTGATAACAGAGACATTGCAAGGATTTACTAAACAGTACTATATCTAATTGATGAGTTTGAACCTTTGCTTTCTGAGAGAAATCTTTACTAGAATCCTTGTTGATAAGGGAAACCTTATTGTAGGCATTTACTGAGAAGACATGGTGTCTAATCGATGAGTTTAAACCTTTGCGATGTGGGATAAATATTTTCAAGAATCCAGTCAATAACAGAAACATTATTAGAAGCATTTAGAGAGGCGGCGGATTGTCTAATTCATCATTTTCAATATTTGGCATTAGAAAATAAGCTAATGTTTTCGATGACATTATGGATTATGATTTAAATTCCTATTTTGGCCACTGTTCCCATAAATACGAAACTTTTATACAATACACACTTATGCACGCATATATATATATATATATATATATATATATATATGTGTGTGTGTGTGTATGAAAAATGTGTATATAAATAAATATATATATATATATATATATATATATATATATATATATATATAATTATATCAAATGGAAATATTGTTTTTATTGTTGTGTTTGAACTGATTCAACCATTTTCTATTGATTTCTTAATATAGTTGTGTACATTTGCTTTTCCCTATGTAACCTTTCCTGACAGAATTACTACTGTCGCAAGCAAACGTACACAACTGTATCAAGAAATCAAAAGAAAATGGTTGAATCCGTCAACACAACAATAAAAAGAATACTTCCACACGTGACAGTACTTGACATAATTTTCAGTTAACAATATAAATATAATAGCGTTTTCTAAATTCTTCCAGTTGCTAAGGATATTTTGTTCTGTTGTTAATAGTCACTTTGTTTTAATAAATTCATTTCGCTTTTGCCTTGAATAAGTCCACATTGGACGAAACGCGCCGGCGAATAATACAGTATTCCTATTGTCTTTTACTTGGCACACACTCACACACACTCACACACACGTATATACATATATATGTGTGTGTGTGTGTGTGTGTGTGTGTGGATGTCTTTCAAAAAAGTGTCTCCGATTTGTGGCTATATTTTTGACGATAGGGTGTCCAATGCTGATCTCGCAAAA